TGTTTTAATCATGAGCGTATTCATGTTTTACGACGACCCCCCCCCCCCAGAAAGGGGCGGAGTCTGACGTGAGTGTTCACTCACTCAGGCATCGTCCAATGCCTGCTGTAGCTCGCCGGAGGATTTAAGCTGCTCCGGGTCCAACTTTTCATTCCAGTGACGTGTGGAGTTACCTGCGTTTTAGGGTTTTAGAGGGATCTCGGAGATGCAGAGGAATATGATAGGCTCTGATTCCTGTGATTATCAGACTGTAGTATCTTATCTAGTCATAGTGTTATTCCAAGTTCCTCACTACTGTTTTCATTCATTTTTTTGTCTGGTGGTTGGAGTTGCTTTGGAGAATGTTGTATATCATGAAACAGGTGGGTTTGACCACCAATAGGACCCAGTAGCTGTACGACATTTTCCTCAGAACATTTTTGTGTAAGTAAAGCTCCCAATAGTGGTGAAGAAAGAGTCTTACCTAGAGCTCCAGCTATACCCAGAGTTGTCATCCTCTTTCAGAATCAGACAGCTACATTTTTGAATTTTACTGATTGTAATTTGATCGTTAATGGCTGTAAATCAGAGGAAGGGCTCTTTCTTGGGAGAGAGGGGGTTTTGTCACAGTCTTCTGCCCTGTGACAATGAGCACCGCTCTCTTGACTCTCCTTTGCTCGTGATTCCCGACTTCATGATGGCTGCACCCAGCACATTGTGAGTTGCATGCAGGGCAGATCATGTCTGATGTCGCTGTTGGTAATGACTGTTAAACCGCAGGTATGCTGTCATCTCTCTGCGCAGGTGGCTGTTTTAAAGCCACGCTTTTGGTGACGGCATTGCTGTGCATCTCCTTGCGGGATCTCAACGAGTTTGTTGAGGAAGCTTCCTGAAGCTGGGAACTTTGCCCGGATTGTTTTATCTACTGAGCATGGGCTATAGGTACTGTACCAGACCCGCCAGGGGTGTCCTTCAGGGAGATTTGCCTGGGCGTGCTAAACACAGAAACATAAGATCTGAAAAATCGGAAATGATATGTAGGCATACCTGCCTGTTACACCACAGGTAACCTGGCCAGTTCCGCAGTACAAAGAGGGAAGGTTAGGACTTCAGCGGTTCATGCTGTTATATCAGTGTGGAGTCACACCTGTACCAAACACACTCCTACATGTTTCCAGTTTTGTTTGAAGTAATTCCCATGTTGGCCAAGGGTACGTGGCTCCTCGGAAATATTAGTACTGCAGTAATGCAAATTTATTTTCTCATAATATTTAAAATTAGATGAAGGTTTTTGACTGTGTGTACCTCAATAGGTTGGGATGCCATCCTTGTGAACAGAAGGTTGGCAGTTCAAATCCCAGTGCTTTCAGCACTGGGTCCTTGAGCAAGACCTGTAACACAAACTGCTCCAAGGACTGACCGTACTCTAATATGTGTCACTTTGAGTAAAAGCATCTGCTAAATAAACAATTTTACCCCTCGAATCACAGTAAGAAAAATATATAATTCAATAGAAATGATCCAGTCCATCAGAAGGGGATTTGAACCCTCAGCTTTGCAGGTGTGAGGCCGTAGCTCTCCCTTCCAAGGCACTGTGCTGTCTGTAAACAATGGATAGGCCATGAAAATGATGCAGATTCCAAAGGTGCTGTGATTACACTGCGCACCTTTCACTTTAATTACACTGTCAGAATAAAAGCCCTATATAAAAGAAATAGGCTTTAATAGCGAAGATGAATAATGATTCTTACTCATGTTTGATGGTTATGTAATGAAGTTATCTCTTATTTAGACATCTCAAATTTAAACTTCAGATTAAATAATGACTCTTTAAAGTTTAATTCGGTTGGAGATTCCAGAAGTTAATCAGTGGTCATTAATGACTAATAGGAGTTTGTATTAACCTGTAGACTAAAGCACACAATCTCAATGTGTCATAGATGCCATCATCCTCATTCCCATTGTGAAGTTGGCTCTGGGACATACTTAAGAAAAGGGATTTGTCTATTTAAAGGGTTTCATGAATTTAAGGCATTTATATCAATGGCTTTTAAAGTACAAGTTTTACAGTAGCACCTACAAGCATCTCTTAGTAAGGTGATTTATCAGCTAGTGACAAACATTAAAAGTCTTTGTGTTTGTAAAGTCTTTGCTGGCTGTGCTGTTGTGTTGTTCAGCCAGGTGGGGGGGCTTCTCACAGGCAAGCCAGGTTAATGGCTTGGGGTGTGAGACAGTATTCAAAGGGCAGGTATTCCCCCAGCAAAGGTACATCCTTGTTAGCTAGGGACGGACTTCCTATAAGGCAAGTGTAGTCAGCTGCAGGGGGCCCTACAGACCAGGGCCCCCCTGAGGGCAGAGGTTACAGAACATGATCATTTAAATTATAGCAACATGTCTGTTGTTAGGAATTTTTGTGACAGTTTTCAGTATAGACAAATTCCCCCCCCCCCCCATTCAATCTGTAATGGACTATTCCAACTTGGGGGGCTGTACACTGTGGTGTGCTACCCTCCAGCCATACTGTGGTGGCATGCCCCCGCCCACCAGGATGAGAAACTCCGCAGCCTCACTCTCAGACGTGAAACTTTTCAATCTGACCGTTGGCCGCTGAAGGGTTTCGAATTTTATTTTCCTGGGATCTTGCGGGACGTTCGCCTGAAGAAAGCTGCTGTCCTTTTTTTTTTTTTCCCATTACTGACTGAGAGATTGGCTTTGACCTTGAGAGGCTGAAATAATGATGGGAAAGGGGCACCAACGAGTGCTTTCATTTATTTCGTAATGCACAAGTAGCTGTTTGGCCGTATGAGTTTCTCATTTTCGGTTGGGTTTACAGGATTGGAATGCTCTGGAGTGATAGACGAGGAGCTGCTGTCATTAGGGAGGCTTTAGTCCCGTCCCCCCCCCCCCCCTCCCCCGACACACCCCTGAGGTGCCCTGGGGAGAAAGGGGGGCAGTTTTGATGTCATTAGGATTCGCTGATGTGCCGCCATTCACAAAATAAGGAGGCTGTCAAGGAAATTATAAGCTGGAGAGTATGGAGGCCTCTGCTGGAATGAATTCAAGGCTTTCATCCACCTGCTCTTCACAGATTACATTCCTAGCAGTGCCGCTGTCATCTCTCTTTAGCTGTGAGAGGGAGCCATCCCTCCCCGCCCCCCTAACGCACCCCCGGGGCTGCGTGTTTGTGAGGGGGCGTGTTGTTCCTTAGCTGGTCCTGGTGTGGAACACTTAGCTCGACAGGTCGGGGTCCCGGGGGTGTTGGGGGGGGTTGGGTGATGGCTGTGCCGCAAACATGGCTCACATTCATCAGCGTCTCGCCTCACGTGGACCGAAAGCACGCTCTGTTCACTGAGGATTCAAAATAGAGCTGGTGCTTTGGGAGGGGGGGAGCAATTACACGACCACCCCCTGAGATGTGCACGGAAATGGCACCTCTCACTGGCCGGTGGGAGGTAATGCATCACGTGCTTCTGCTTGGCATCTCCACGGTGAATGGTGCAGCGCTACAGTCCCTAGACATAAAAACAGCCCCATCTCAAATAGCACCGCTGCAGATGATCTTTCGGAGGCTAACGCTGCCGCGACCTTCCTGTTTTGGAAACCAGGGAGGGGCCGGTTTGGGAGCGGCCTGGCTGTCCAACATCTGGCTCCCATCTGTGATCCCGGCCTCCACCACCTCCTCGCTTTCCCCGGCTAGTAGTTCTGAATCCTCCAAGAACTTTCATTGCACCAACATCTCATGAGCTTACGCCATCTCCAAGAAAGAAAGGGGGA